AGTAGATAGTTGTACGTCATAGTTGCACATCATTCTAGTTGCTGTATGTGGGACACGGCCTCAGCATGGCCGGAGAAGCGGTGCCTCGGTGCGCGCACAGGATCCGAACCCGGGCCACCAGTAGCGGAGCGCGCGCACTTAACCGCTAAGCCACAGGGCTGGCCCTTAACTTCTTTCTTATGTTTCTTTGTAACCAAGCAAGGGCTCCTTCTGCTCGCCACAACCTTAAAGCCAATCAATTGCAAGATGAATTGGTGGTTGAGAAAGGGATTTATCTGATTACCGGCAAAATAGGAAGATGGTGGACTCATGTCCCAAAGACCATCTTAAACAAGCACATAGCCTTGAGGTAGTTATATAGGGACTAGCAGGCTATGAAGGAGGAGCTCAAGAACATTGACCATCTGGCATCTGTGACTAGAGACGCCACATCAGGTCTTTCAGTTGTCATCTATGACGGATGCCAACATAGATGTTCTTCTCTGAGGAGGTCCTCATATACCTAAAAAACTCAAATGAACTAAGTTATCGTCTGTCACTATAGGGAGGTACATATGTCAGCCAGGATTATTAAATCTACAGAGCATGCATGTTTCCTGGAGGGTAGCTATTTATTTCCTAGGCTACGTGCAAGGTAAAACATATACAGTGTGGGTGAGTTAGTCAGAGGTCATTCTGAGTTACAGTATGGCTTCCTTCATGTCAACCTTGTCTTGGGCTGGTATCATGTTCTCATTGACTGGATTCTCTCATATAGCACCATAAGCTTTCTTATACATCTCCTCCATTATGTCTGGAGTTACACTATTCTTTATGTATTGAGAGAATTGTTTTTTGTAAGCATCTTTGTCTTCTTCCATCAGGTAATGCAGATAATCTGCAATGTTCTGACCTATGATGTGCTTCCAATGTACTTCTGCATTGAATTCCTTGCTTTCTGAATCATAACCAGGGAATTGTTTGGATCTGTGAGGGATAGACAAGCCTCCATCGACAGCTCCCTTCAGGGTCCCATTCCATTCTAATGGAATTTGCTAGGTTCTGGACTTGTTTGGGACCTGTCACTCCTTCTTTCTTTTCAATTTCTCCCTTTTGGAATGGAAATGTCTATCCTATGCCTGTCCCACCATTGTATTTTGGAAACATATAACTTGTCTGGTTTCACAGGTTCATAGCTGGAGAGGAGTTTTGCCTTAGGATGAATTGTACCTCGAGTCTCATCCATATCTGATATAGATAATATTTAGACAAGCACTTTGACTTTAGACTTTAGAGTTGATGCTGAAATGAACTAAGAATTTTGGAGCTGTTGGGATGGAATGAATATATTTGCACATGAGAAGGACATGAATTTTGAGGGCCCAGGGTCGAAATGCTATGGACTGAATTGTGTCCTCCCTCAAATTCATCTATTCAAGCCTCAACCCGCAATGTGACTGTATTTGAAGAATAAAAGTTCTTTATGGAAGTAATCAAGGTTAAATGAGGTCACAAATGTGGGCCTTGGTCTGAGAGGGTTAGGTCCTCATAAGAAGAGACAAAAGTGAGCTATATGAAGAGATGATATGTTAATTAGCTTGCCTGTAGTAATCATTTCACTATGTGTCTATATCAAGTCATGTTGTATACCTTAAACATATACAATGTTTATTTAAAAAAGAAAATAGAATAAAATGAAGAGTGGGTTGTCTCTCTTTCTCTTTCTCTCCACCATGTAAGGACATAATGATAAGGTGAGTGTCTGCAAGCCAGGAAGAGAGCCCCCACCAGGAATAGAATTGACCACTACCTTGAACTTAGACTTCCCAGCCTCCAGAATTGTGAGAAAATAAATTTCTGTCATTTAGTTCGCACAGTTTGTGGTATTTTATTGTGGCAGCTCTAACAGACTAATACAGTCCTTTTAAATCCTTATCTTTTTTTTTCTTTTGTACAGAGAGATCTATTTTTTAGCATGTTTTTCTTATTAATTTTTAGGAGTTCTTTATATAATCTGGGGAACCCTTGATTGTTTATAAGTGTTTCAAATACTTTCTTCTGCTCCACAGCTTGTCTTCTTTACTTTCTTATGGTTAATTTTGATGAACAAAAATTAATAATTTAAATGTAACTCCATGTATGTTTCTGTCATGTTTAGTTACTTTGGAGTTTTGTTTAAGTCTCTTTCTAGTCTAAGGTCATTGTGATATTTTCCTATGTTGCAATCCATTGTGCTGTGCAATATGGAGCCACTAGTCACATGTGGTTATTAAGCACTTGAAATGTGGCTAATCTGAGTTGAGATATGCTGTAAGCATAAACCACACATTTCAAAGACTTAATATGAAAAATAAATATAACATATCTCAGTAATAACATTGTATATTGATTACATATAGAAATGATATTTTGGGTGTATTATCTATACAAAATATTATATATATGTTATACATATATTTCAAACTTATTATGTATACATAATATTATATGTATACATTATTAACACTGAACATAACTCTATTGGGCGTGGAATTCACGGTTTATGAACTTTTCTACTCAAATCTGTTGGTCATTGGCATTTAGAAATGCAGTTTGGAAATCTGAGGTCAGTCTGACTTTTATTCCTTTATATACCTATTCTATTTTTCCTGCCTGGATACAAAGGTTTTTCTTGATCTGGGCATTAAAATGTTTCTAAAGGACGTTTCTTTTCATTGACTTTACTTGGTAATTACCTATATGTATAACTTGAAATCCAAGTATTTCCACTGTTATAATTTCTATTTCCTCTCAGATATCTCTCCTTTTGAAATGAATATTATGCATTATTATCTCTTCTTATCCTGTCTTTTATGTCTTTTTGCTTTTCTCTTATTTTAATATTGTATACTTTTCTTTTGATCTCTGGGTGAATCATTCAGGCTTATCTTCTGTCAGTGATTTCATTTTCAACTGCATCCAAGATGCTGTTCATTGAGTTATTTTACATTTTTATTCCTTTTTTATTTCATTAGTTTTATTTTGGAATAATCTGAAATTACAGAAGTGTTGCAAAGATAGTAACAGAAAGTGCCTGTATAGCCCTCATCTAGTTTCCAGTTTCCACTAACGTTAACAGCTTACATAATCATAGTACATTTATCTAAACTAAGAAGTTAACATTAGTAAAATACTATTAACTAGGTGTAGACTTAATTTGAATTTCTCAGGTTTTTAAACTAATGTCCTTTTTTGTTCCAAGGTTCAAGTCAGGATGCTACACTACATTTAGCTGCTATGTCTCCTTAGGCACCTCCAATCTGTGACAGTTTATTCGTCTTTACTTGTCTTTTGTGACCTTGACAGTTTTGAAGAGAACTTTGTAGCATAGTATTTTGTAGAGTGTCCCTCAGTTTGGATTTTTCTGATGGTTTCTCATTTTAAAGGTAGCCGGGATTTGTTTTAATCAGGGGTGGTAAGACATGCAGATATGGAAATGACTGTCATGAAAGAAGTTTGCTATTAGATTCCTAGAAATAGAATGCCCGGCATGTCAGGGAGGGCTGGCTCCATGACACAGGAAGCACCAGCTAGTCAGGAGGCAGGGGGAGCGGATCCTAGAGGCAGGTAGGGGAGAAACATGGGTAAGAGACTGTATTGTGGTCTTAGTGGAAAGGAACAGGAGATGCAGGGTATATTTTGAATAATTTCCATGGGCTCTGGGGCATAGGGACTGTCTCCAGTTATTTGGTACCTGGCCCTAGGGTGATTAGGACAGGTGGATAGTGGATAGCCCAGAGTGTGACAGCCTGATAAAGGAGGTGGTTGGAAATATGGGCTCCGGGTGGCTTAGTTTGCATATGAAAGGTACACTAGCAGGTGAGTCCTTTTTACTTATCTCTAGGAATTGGCTAGCCATGGAAGGGGCAGTCCCTCTAGGGTTGGCAAGATCCCAAAATGTCAAAGCATCAAAAATATGCAATAAAAAGGCAGGATTAATACATTTCTCATGATTGGACTGAGGGGGGGGGTCTCAGTTTAGATTTGGAATTAGCAACCATGTTTTTCATTTTGAAAAATATTTTTCTTGATCTCAGAATACCCATGTTTCTGTGTTGTACTCATTTGAGTACTTCTCATATGTTTTTGATAAGTTGGGGGTTTCAATAGTTGTTTCCTATTCTTGCTGCAACTTTATTTTGTAAGAGAAGTTTACTTTGATTCTTCCATCATTGTCTCTGTTTAAACAATTGAGTCTTTCTGTGTGACTGGTGTCTTCCTTTCACCCCCATTTGCCTATCAATACAGAAAGTTGTTTACTTAGTCCTGGAGGTGAGATGATTTCTATCCCAGGTTGTGTGGGTCTTTATTCAAATCTTTTCTTCACAGATAGAGGGAAAATGGAAATGTTTATATTTAATTTATTTTTGTGTTTTCAGATTCAGGATCAGTAGCCTATTGGCTACAACCTGCTGGTGAATTTACCTGCAACAATTTGTGTTTCTTTCCACTCATTTTTCTACAATACAATTTTTTTTTTCTAGGACTTTAATGCTGATAAATTTACCATGTTATTTATTTTATTTTTTTTTCCCCAAACCCCCAATAGATAGTTGTATGTCATAGTTGTACATCCTTCTAGTTGCTGTATGTGGGACGCGGCCTCAACATGGCCGGAGAAGCGGTGCTTTGGTGCGCGCCCGGGATCCGAACCCAGGCCGCCAGTAGCGGAGCGCACGCACTTAACCGCTAAGCCACGGGGCCGGCCCATACCATGTTATTTAAAAGAAAGTATGATCCATAGGTAAAGCTCATGGAATTACTAAAATTATAATGTTATGTGCTGTGTTAGGTCAGGTTCCGCAGATGCAGAGCCTGAGATGGGCAAGCGATTTATTGAGAGGGTGTTGGAGCATAAATTGCGTCACAGAGATTGTCCTGCTTTGAGGAAAGGAGGCTGGACTTTTGCACCACTGTCGTCAGTCATTGTCTGTGGGTTTCCATAGGGACGGGAGGTGAGGAGGCAGTGTGTAACTCTCAGTGAGTATGCTCCCATTGATTGAGGACAAGTCTCCGGAAAAAAGAACAGCTGTAAACCATTAGCAGACAACACAGCTACTGTGGGATGGGCAAGGGGGCTCTGAGTGGGCACCAACAGCATTTTCTGCATGTGCAATAGCTCCAAGGGTCAACAAAAAAGATATAGGTTCCCTTTATATTTCTGGTCACTGGATCTTAAATAAAATAGCCTTTTCAATTATGAGTAACTGAAAATCTAAGGTTACAAAGAACTGTTGTGTTTGAAAGAAGATATCTGACAAAACAAAAATCCTTAATAGCTCTGCTTCCCATGAAGTGCTAATTTTAAGTTTAGCAAGAAATAAGTATGAAGCATATACTGCCTGTAGTTAGAGGTATTTAGCAAAATATAACTTCTTCCCAGAGGTAGTATAGTATGCTAATTATCCACCCTGAGTTCCTTTTATATTCAAATCCCCAACAATCTAAGCAGTAATGGAGGTTGTCAATCTAGAAACAGAAACCAATTTAAAAAGCATTAATAGGAAAAACAACAGCTGTTATAAATAGTGCTTCATATGCAATTTAGTATGGTATAAGCTGCTCCTGAGACTGAAGGGAATTGGGAATATAGGAAAATTTAGTAACACATCCATTCAAAATTCGAATACAAATTTAATTCAATTCAGTTTTGCAGCAGTACATTAGTGCTCAATGATCAATGCTGATCTGGGTTGGGTGGAGGACCAACATAAAGAAAGCCCTCAGTGGATCCTGCAGACTTCTATCATTATTAGAAAATAATATAACAAATTACCTTTTTATTTTAGAGAACTTATTGTTTTTTTATAACATCTTTGGTCCTAACATGTACAATAAATATCCACTTATCTTACAATTAGGCTGTGGTTAACTTCCATAATTCAAAATATAATCATGATAAAATGTGTTCAGGAGAGAGAAATTGCTGCCATAAAACACAGAAATTTTGTTCTCAAGGAGAGATGTGGGGTTGTACTTTAAGGGTCTAATGACCTAGAGTCCTGTCTTACTTAGAACAAGGATTTGATTAAGCAGACTTGGTTATCTATTTTTTTTTTTACCAAGAATCTTAAATTTTTTATAGTCTGTAGTAGAGTGGAATTACAGATGTGGCAGTCATGAAAATTTACTGCTTAGATCTCCAGCTGCAGGGAGCATAATTGACTGATGGCTTCGTCTATTGCCCCAATGGATCCAATACTGCCTTTGTGCTAGCCCACACTTCTTGTGAGCTGCTCTCAGCCAATGACTGAGCGCGGCAAAGGTACTGCAGCAAATCCATTCTTGCATGATGCCAATCTCCTCCTATATGTTTTTGGATCAAGACCTCCCCGTGGACAAGGCTCAACCTTTCTTAGAACTGTGCTGCTATCCGTGACTCCTCCTACCCTGTCCTCCTTACTTCCCTACCTCCTTACATGGGAGTCATGGTCTGAAGGCTCCCTCTACCTTCTTCTGCTGCCTTCCCCACAAAGTCTCTTGCATGTATAATCTCATATTGGCATGTGCTCTCAGTGGAGCTAAACTAACACAAGTGGTTATGAGAGTAGTCCAAGAAAACAGGTGGTAGGATGTGGATGTGAGACTAGCTCACTAAGCACTTGGGGGGCAAAGAAGATGCCATCCTGAGCAGATTATCCCTGGCACAATTTGGTGTCCCAATTGCTAAATATTCTACTAGTGGTAACCTGGTAAAACATACCAGCGCAGGGGAATGCCCTTGCAGAGGTGTGACGATTCAGACATTTGAGAGGTATGGGGTAGGCGGAAGAGACAATGTTTATGATGATGGCAGCACTTGTCAGTGCTAAGTTATATTGCCATCCTGCAGAGGGATAATGAGAAACTGAGAGCTGTTAAAAGCTAAGTGTGGGAACCAAGGGGCCTCCTTGGTAGCTTACAAAGAGTCACTTATCTTCTGAGTAGAAGAGCAGAGACAGCTGCACAACGAAATGAAGATTGAATAGGCTCAGAGCTCCAGAGACATTTGAATGCTCATCATCTAAGATAAGTCTGTTATGCTAAGTCAGCATTCTAGATTGGAAACCTGGAACCTTGAAACATAGGATGGGACATTTTGGTTGATAATTCTAAGGAGACTGACTCTGCAGATCCTGTAGAGTCCTCACAGCTTGAAAGATTAGTCCACTCTTTGCTAGAAGACTCTGCAAAGGCCTCATCCGTGTAAGGTAACAGATATGCCCCTCAGGAACTGTTCCTGGTTCCTTTCCTGGCTTCCAGGAGAATTAAGATTAAATCCCAGTAAATGCCAGCTGCTGGGCCTGATAAGGGAGAAACTATACACTGAAGGCATCATAAGGCTTAGCTATAATGTACTGGAAAGAATCAGACTAGTATGCTTGGGATTGGATTTCCAGGATGATTTGTCAAGGAGATGGAATGTAAGATAGGACAAGCAGGAATTCATCAACTTGGTGGTACTTTCTCTGGACAAGGAATTGAAGTCCCTGGCAAGGACCACAGGGAATGAGACAAACTCATTGCTAGGGTGGTTCATAGAAGCCTGGAAGCATTGAGGGCCAATGCTGAGCCCTCGGTATGACATGATTCTAAAAGGAGACCAACAGGTCATTTGATGGCAATCAACTACATTAGACCCCTCTGTCATGGAACGGCCAGCTGTTTGCCTTTATTGGGATAGATATATATTCTGGGTATGAATTTGCCTTTCTTGCCTGCAGAGCCTCAGCCAGCACTACCATTGCGGGACTATGGAATGATCCATAAGCATTGACTCCCACACTACATAGTGTCTGACCAGGGGACCAACTTCCCAGTGGAGGAGTAGGTCCATGGGATACAGAGGTTGTACCACATATTGCACCATGTAGAAGCAGCAGAACACCCTTCTAAAGGCACAGTTTCAGAGGTAACACTCTGAAAGAATGGGGTATCATCTTTCAAGATACAATACATGGATCAAACCAGAGACCTCCATATGGTGCTGTGTCCCTAGTAAGAATACGTGAGTTCTGGAACAAAGGAGTTGAAACAGGGGTGGCCCTACATGCCACCATTCCCAATGGTCCAATGGGAGACTTTGTGCTTCCTGTGCCCACAACTCCAGACTCTACAGGATTAGAGGTCTTGGTCACCAAAGAAGGCTTACTCTCGCCAGGGGACACAGCAAGGTTCTTATCGAACTACAGGCTTGGTCTGCTGTCAGGGCACTTTGGACACGTTGTGCCCAAGGACCAGAGACAAGGAGTCACCATCATGGCAGGGGTTAACCACGCTGGTCAGCAGGAGGATATAGGGCACTTTTATGCAGTAGGGCCGAAAGGAATATGTGTGGTGCTTAGGTGATTCTTGGGCACCTCGTGGTACTCCCTTGACCCACAGGAACCATAAATGGACAAATTGTAGCAGTGTGACCCCAGAAAAGTATGATTGTGGGGGGCTCACACCCCTCAGGGAAGAGGTTTTGGGTCACACTACCAGGCAAGCACCAAAATATTCTGAGAGAAGAGGTGAAGGTGCAGGGAATTTAAAATGGAAAGTGGAGGAGGGCGAGGATGAGTACCACTTGTAGCCCTGTGACAAACTGCAGTGATGAAGTTCTAGTTCATCCCAGTTACTTTCCGCTTTTAAGTTTCTCCTGAGGGAGAGAGACCCACAGGAACTCTGAGGGAGCTGTTTGCAAAATCTTCATGGAGAAGTAGATCTGTAAGATACAAAGGCGGACTGTGGTAGCTATGGAAATGTACCTCTGAGATCTCCTTCTGCAGGAAGCATGACTGATGGACGGCCCCTGCTGCTGCACCTGAATCTGCCGCTGTGTTTGCGCTGAGACCATGCTTCCTACTGGCTGCTCCTGCTTAGTGACAGAGCATGGCAGGGGTTTTAAGGCAGGGTCATCCTAGTGAGGCGTGGGCCAATTCATATGGGTGATATATAAAATATTAAAAATATTATATATGTATATATTCACACACATACTTATATACATATGTATATGAAAGAAATATCTTAGTTTTTATTATTTTTTAATTACTTTTTGAAGTCTTATTAAAGTTTCTCTTCATTTAGCAATTGTGATCATTTTGCAATATATACAAATATTAAATCATTATGTTATGTCATTATGTATTGAATCACCTAAAACTAATATAACCTTATATGTCAATTATATCTCAATAAAAAAAGAAACTTCAGGAATGTCACAATTAAAAATGAGCAGAATAGATGAAAATGCAGAGATACAAATAGCCAACAAATACATGGAATATGGTCTTCTCTCATAATTAAAGGAATTTACAAAGGAATCTCTCATGATTAAAGGAATCAAAAAACAATGAGATATCATTTTCTCACCTTTCGGCTTTGCAAAAATTGACTGAGTTAACACAATGCTTTTGAGGATGTTGGGATGAGGGTAATCTCATATACCATTTTTGGGAGTTAATCGTTAATTATTAATTGTTGAAAATTTTGGAAAGGACAATTTCTATTATTTGTCCAAATTTTAAGTATATCCTTTGACCCGATAATCCTATGGCTAGGAAGTGTTCATAGCTGCATAAGTACAAGGACATTGAACCACACCATTGTTTGTAACAGCAAAAACTTTCTGGGGGCTAATCTTTATTGAGTGCTTACTTTGTATCAAACACTGTTCTAAGTATTTTACATGCATTAGCTTATTTAATCCCCACAACAATCCTATGAGGTAGGTAATTTGTTATTCCACTTTACAGATGAGGAAACTAAGGCACAGAGAGGTTAAGTCACTTGTCCAAGGTCTGGTTAGTGGTGGAGATGGAATTGAACCCAGAGAGTCTGGCTCCATTGTCCATGCTCTTAACCACTATCTATGTTACTTCTTAATAAAATGTGGCACAGATTCACAATCGCTCAGCCACAATTTTGAAATTCAGCTCTGATAACTGAAAGCTCTAATTATAGTACACTTGATGGACCTAACTGGATTCAAATGGCAGCAAAATCTGTGATGAACTGACGTGAAGCTATTTATAGTTATTATTTATCCCATTTAGTGACACATTAATTAATGTTTCACTGGAGAAATATTAATGTATTTGATTGCAGGGTGATGTCCCATAACCTGCTGGGGATGTTTCATAGTATATGGGATATACACTGTATACGGATGGACTAGATAGATACTTAGGAGATAAGTCAATAGTAATGCAAAATCAGAATGGGGTGAAGGAGAGGGAGGCTTGAAAAGGGACTCATGGATTAAAATCTTGAAAATCTATATGGGTCATCGAGCCATTCACTGACATAGGGAACATTGCAGTGGGATGCTTTTGGGGAAAGCATGAGTTCAGTTTGATGTGCCTTTGTGACATCAGCAGGGGCATCAAGTGGGTAGTTGGGTACATCAATGTGGAAGTCAA